CACACACACACACACACACACACACACACACACACACACACAAACACACAACTACATGCACCTGACAGTGGTCTGAACATAACCAAACAATTTGGAATTTATTACAACCTCTGAAGTGCTCAGAGTCTGAACTAACCCTTTGGGAGTTTGTAGCTTAAAAAGACCCAGAGAAGGGAAAACACTGAAATATACTCCCATCAATTCTTCCCCATTCATTTTTTTTAGTTTTCCTCTCTTTCACAAACACATGTTTGTGAAACCAATGAATCATTGGTGGAACATTAAATTGACTTTAACAAATTAACTCATTTTTCTTTCTTTTTTTGACAGTCTGTCATTGTTGTGTGTGTTTGATTTGAATGATGGTTCAGAGTTTGTTGAAAGTAGGTTACGTTTTTTGTAAGAGCTAAGGTTGAACCTTGTAAATATGTTTTGCTTGTTCTTCTGAAATCAGGTATATTGTTGGCAAAATAAGCTTAGAATTCTGACCAAATGATGAGATCTAAAATCATGTGATRAACTTCTATGTTTAGAAGCCCTTACAATGTCAACATAGTTTATAGAGTCAGTATAAAATTATTTTGTTTGGGTTTTATAATGGAAACCTAACATAGTAACATAGCAACATTACAAATAATCTTGTTTGTCTCACATGTGGAAAGTACATCCAGTCAGATGCAAAACACTTGACTCAAACTTTATATTAAACACGACTAACCTATTGTCTCCTTTGTTGTCCTTCACAGGTAATCGTTTCTTCCTGACCTCATTTGGCACTTTATATATCTCAGAAGTGCAGAAGGAAGATGCTCTGTCCACATACCGCTGCATCACAAAGCACAAGTACAGCGGAGAGACCCGCCAAAGTAATGGAGCCAGGCTCTCTGTTATGGGTAAGCAACAAGTTGTACATTAAAAAAAAATATCTGTCCATTTATCTTTCTTATAATTAACAAACAGGTTAAATATTTTATACTGTTTTTAATCCCACCTCAGACCCTACGGAGTCCGCCCCTAATGTGCTGGACAGTTTTCAGTCTGGAGAAGTGCAGGTGGGTCAAAGTGTGGAACTGCCCTGCATCGCCTCTGGATACCCGAACCCCACCATCCGATGGTTAAAGGATGGTCGGCCATTACCAGCGGACTCTCGCTGGACTCGCCGAATTACTGGCCTCACCATCTCTGACTTGAGACTCGAGGACAGTGGCAACTACATCTGTGAGGTCACCAACAGCTTTGGCTCCAAAGAGGTGATGGGTCACCTCAATGTTATAGGTGGGTTTGTGGTTCAGTCATCGCCGAGCACTTTATGTGCATCTCCTGTTCGGACTTCCACTGTTCTGCACTGGCAACTGCAAAGCAAGGGAGTAAGACAAACAGAAATAAATAAAGGCACATTGGAACACAAACAAGAGGTTGTTTAAGTTGTGTTAGCTGTGCTGTTCCCACCCGCATCTGACATAACCATGAGTTTGATTACAAAGGATGTCTTTCTGCCCTCTTTTCTCTCTTCTTGTGACAGAAAGGAACTGTGTAGGTCGGTCATTCTATTGTAAAGGGTGTGAAAGATGTTAACAGAGTTTTCTGAAATTGAAATATCATGTTTGCCAGTAAAAAATATATAAGGAGAAAATGAAACAGATGTGAGGAGTAACGCAGAGAGGTTTGTGTGGAAAAGATGGAATTTAAGGAAGAGTAATGTTAGTGGACACTGGGCAGACTGGCCACAGGGCATATCACCGTGCAGTCCACAAACCTTCAATGACAGGGCAAGTAAGGTGGCAAACACCCACACATGCACATGCACGCACACACACACACACACACACACACACACACACAGCTGTCTAACTGGGGACATTCCGACTTCCATTACATTCCTACATCCTAACCCTGACCACCAACTCTAAANCACACACACACACACACACACACACACACACACACACACACACACACACACACACACGTATTTATAACCACTTGTGGAAAAAAGCTGCATGCTTACCCTCTCAATGAAAAGTGAGTCATTCAACTTATCTCATTCGAGGGACTACCAGAAAGTTCAGAGTCACACACACACACACACACACACACACACACACACACACACACACACAAACACACACACACACACACTGTACAAGAAGTCATTGCCCATGAAGCAAATCTTACACATGCAGATGCAGTGACACACAGACATGCTCACTCACATTCAGCAGCCTCTAGCTCCTAACACCAGCTGCTTTATTGCTCACTGACATTTACTGTCCTTTCTGTCTCTGTCTTGGTTTTCCTCACTGCTCAGTGCACACACTTTATCATATACAGGACAAGACATACACACACACAAGAACACACAATTTTACCAAAATTAGACTTCTACTGCTTAGCCATCACAATGTACAGTAGCTCATCGAACAATGATTATGTTGATTTTGCTCTGGGATGCTGACATATATTAATTAACCTCCAGAATGTAGCTAATAATTTCATCTAATTGAATCTACATTGTTGTCTTTTTATTGTTTTACTCGTTTCTTTTTGTATTTTCTGTTTTTAGAGCCGCTGCGAGTCACTTTGTCTCCAAAGAACCTGAAGACAGGGATCAGCAGTACAGTCATCCTCTCCTGTGCCGTTCAAGGTTCCCCCCACTTCACGGTGGCCTGGTACCGTAACACAGAACCCGTCATGCCTGATCAGCACTTTTCCATCCAGGGAGCTCACAACGAGACGTTGTTCATTTCTGCTGCACAAAAAAGACACTCGGGAGCCTACCAGTGCTTTGCCTCAAGGAAGGGCCAAACCGCCCAGGACTTCTCCATCATACTGCTGGAAGGTGATGACAGAAATTCATTATTATGCACTTTTACATGTTTACGGTAAACTGATTACGTTAGTTACATAAACGCATCAGGCTAACAATCTGTTTTTCTGCTGAATAAAACAATAATTCCACATGATTTACAGTACATATGTACAAGAATATGATGAAGAACAAGTCGCTGCACTTTTGCTTCATGTGTGAAATTGGGTAGCAGTTTGGAATCTACTGACATATGGAGCAAAAGTGGAAAAAAACTATAAACTAACCAGCAAATAGAGGATGGGAATATTGAATAAATATCCAAATTTAGTGTGTGTTTAATATGCACAAGTGAGAGTTTGTAAAAATTGCAATATTCTGTTCAGTGCTTGTTATGCTTCTTGTTTTGTTTTCTCCATTTGTGTTACATGATTGTGCAAGAAAATAAAAACCTTCAAATCTATGAAGCTCAAAATCCATACTAAAACAATGTACAGTAATTAACATTATCTTTCCAAAGAATCTCACTTTAAAAGATCCAAACTATCGCATTAAAGCATGTGAACTTCTCAAAGAACAGTACCCGTGTATAAGTGTAATGCGTCTCCTTACTCTTGCTGCTGATGAATCATCACCGTATTTCTTACCTCAGACCTTACAAGTCTCTGGTCTCATTTATTCCCAGATGGGACACCCCGTATCGTTGCCTCGTTCAGTGAAAGGGTGGTGGTTCCTGGTGAACCGTTCTCCCTGATGTGTGCTGCCAAAGGAGCCCCTCCGCCCACCATCACCTGGACCCTGGATGATGAGCCTGTGGCCCTGGACCTGCCGCGGATCAGATCCAGCCAGTACATGCTCTCCGACGGGTGCACCGTGAGCTACATGAACGTCAGCAGCCCGCAGATTCGTGATGGGGGATTGTATCGGTGCGCCGCACAAAACTCGGCCGGTGGTGCCGAGTACCAAGCGCGCATAAACGTAAGAGGTGCCTGTCTACTTTTCAATATCAGTCATACAGAGGCTTGTCATAGCCTGCCCCCCCTCCCCCACCCTGACCAATACCCTCTCATGACTCTATCATACCTCTATCTCCTTTTTGTGTTTTGTTTAGTTTTTTTTCATATCTATACTTTTAGTTGTCATCCTTTTTCAAGTCTCTCTGTCTACAGAAACATGTGTCTTGTTTCTCCAGGCGTCTATATGTGTTGTATGTCTTCTTTCTGTCTTTTTTGTTTGGTTGTTTGTTTCCGATACTGTACGTTTATCTGATAGACCATATCTGTAGACATGTGATAGTCAAACAAATGTTAAAACACATGAAGAAAATCCAAACTTAAAAAGGTTATTTGCTAAATGAGCTGAAATAAACTTAAACAGTCTTTGCAACTTTATTCATGGCTTCCTTCAAAACAACTTGCTTTATTAACCTCAACAGAAAATATATTGGTTCATTCAATAAGTAATTTAAAGATGATCAAATCATCAGTAGTAAAGAGGTTAAGTTAGTACGTAAAAATATTGTGAGCAACTTATATACAGTACAAGTAATTACAATTCCTTAAATTTAATGAGGAAATCAACACAATTGTGCAGAAAGGCATATATTTTATGCAAAAAATACATTTTGCATAAAAACATTGTGAATAATTTGTATTAAACCTGAACTTAATATGTTTGTTAAAGAAACATTTGTCAGTTTAATTTGAACATGCAGCTTGTTGTTTTTTTTTTTTTTTTGTTTGTTTTTTGGTGCACCTTTTGTTTTACCTAATTCGCCTACTTGTATGTACATCCATTTACACAGAAATGCTATACCCGTGTAAAATTTTAAAACGAGAGAATTTATCTTAGCTTAACCACCTGAGAGACAAAGAAGCTAAAACAGAAAGGTGCCTAAAGAAACATATGGTCCGAGGTTAGGGTATAGATAAAATAAAAGGAAAATAACGAAGCTGAGAGGAGTTCCTAGTGTCTGTGGAGAGGCTGACGGAAAACTGTGGTGACAGAACTGGTGATGTCACTGTCGTCTGAGATGACAAGGATGAGAAGTGACACCAGTGGACAGTGCTGTATCACTGTCTCAGTGTCTCCCTCTCGATTTCTCCCAGCCCCTTTTCTTGGTCCTTTGGTGAGATGTGTAGTTGTGACATGTGAGTCTGCTCCAAGCAAACATGCCAGAATGATCATTGAAGTGAGAATGAGCCCCATTGCCAGAGATTTTCAGGCCCTGCATGCAACACAAACTGTCACAAATACTGCCAACGCACGCACGCACGCACGCACGCACGCACGCACGCACGCACACACACACACACACA